TGGAGAAATGACCCTTTTCCAACCCCTCCTTCCCTAACTCCTCTCCTCCCTTCATTCCTCTCCTCCTCTCCAAACTCCAATGAAACATGACTGACAGCCTGCTGTATAAGTAGTTGTCATAGCAACCTCCCCATCCTTGTGACAAGTGCTTTTTCTCTATAGCACACTCTCGCCCTCTGTCACAATATCTCTCTCACTCCCTCCATCTCCACTCCCTTGCTGTTCGACTGAGAAAGAGACAGAGAAGGAAAATTTGAAAAACCAGAGAGCACCTAAGGCAGTTGGTATGCTTTTCTTCCAACCTTCACCTCCATTCTCTTCCCCATCCCCTACGCACCCACCACCAACACCACCGCCACCCCTGACAATGATTTACCAACTCCTGTGGTGCACCTCTTTCATGCATCCTGGCTTATCGAGAACCGCAGGACTGTACGCACAGCAACTTACAGTATGGGCACATCGTTCTCACTCTCCCACACATTCACTCTCTCTTTCTCTCCTCCTCTCTCTCTTCCATTCTTTCTCTACGTCTCTAGCTTCCCTTGGCTCTCTCTTCCTCTTTCTTTCTCTTGTTGCTTCAAAACTCCTACTCTGCCCCATTGCTATTCAGTAATTCTCATTTCACTGTCAAAATCCTCAGCAGTCTGCAGAGTTATCATGGAACATACAGTAATAAGTCTCTAGTACACTGGACGGTGCTGCAGAGTGTGTATGTGTGTTGTATGGACAGAAGATCCTTCAAACTTGTAGTGGAATTAAACGTTATGTAACAAAAGAGAGTGCTGTGTAGAGATTTGGAGCATGTGCATAAGTAAAGAATTATAATGGTGTTGTCAGTCGTGCGTGCGCTGTAATAGTCAGACTACAGCATAAAGATCGGAGATATGAAATATTACTGATTTAATTTGCTTGTGCGCAGTGACTCAAAGACTTCACACAAGGCCAATGCGCTCATACTGAAAAGCTTATATTGATTTGAAAGGGTCCAAATGGACCCAGTAATCTTCAGTATGTATAACCAGGCAGCACACTGCCATTTCATTATTCTGGAGTTTAATTTCCAATGCATTTATTCCAAACAAGCATCTGTTTAATAACTCAGAGTAAATTAAACATGATGGGGGGTGAATTTCAGGACAGCAGTGGTGTGTCACAATAAAGTTGGATTCAGTACTCTGCCGTGGTGAGCTGTAAATGTATCTTAATGCCAGCATGCTGCACAGTTATCACAGTTAACTTGCTGGTGGTTATTAGACCCCTGAATTGTTTAGGTGATGACATTTCAGTGTGAATGCTAAAGCAGAGAGACGCTCTAATTTGGGATTGTATTAACGCTGGCTCGGCTCTGTTGTGATGTAAGCACAAAAAAAACAGCTCATAATTTCTTGTCTTATTTTGCATTCATCTATACAGTAGAAGCCATTTACCACAGGTGAGGAGCTGTAACGGAAAGGTGATTCAGCTGCTTTTGAAGGCTGCAAAAGAGAAAAGAGACATCCTCTCAGAACAACCTCTGCTGCTAATCATGTTTAAACTTTTTGCGTTACAGAATGTTTCAGGGTTGTGTGAGACAGACATGAATCAATTAAAAAATATTCTTATCATAACTTATTATTAGTTATGGAAAATACATTTCAATCTGGCTGAATGATAAAGTTCAAAGTGGCATCTCTGATTAGTCAGAAAGCCTTAAATGGAGCCAAGGCAACACTGTTGTTCAGTCTTACCTGTACACACACACAGGACATATGTAGCTGTAGTTTGCTCTGCAGAGTGAGCCGATCGTTCTTCCCAGTTAGGGAGGGGTTCGGTTTCCATACATATGGAATATGTGTGTGTGTACTGTACTGCATGGATGAGGCAGAATTACAGATTAAGGATGAGTGCCTTTGAACTGTTGCAAAGATTGAACTCAGCTGAGGACCGAGGAGTCTAGGTTTCTGCAGAGACTATCTGAGACTGCCATCCTTGGATCAAAGAGGCCAGAGCTCTAGTAAAGATACGTCAGGATAAATATCCGGATTTCAGAATCTGTGTAAACACGCAGGTTGGTTAGGAAACCCCACTGAGATACAACAGATGTTTTTTCTTTTCTTCAGTTTCGATGAATATCATGTGCTGTGTACCAAGCTTTGCATTGCAGTAGAATAACAAACAGAAGAAGCAGGATTTTTGATGGTGTGTTGCAGCCGTGGCCACCACCAGCAATAGCAGTTAGCAGTGGCTACAGTAGAAACCAGCAGCAGTTTAGCCATTAGTATAACGTTAATCTGATAAAGTGGTGACAGCTGAGGTGGTGAGATGCCTGTATAGCAGCGGATGGAAGATAGTAACAATACATCATGTGGGTTAAGATGGTGTCGGTGAGACTCTACAGCCTTTTGTTTTGTACTCTGAGCAGCACAAGTTAGACAACATTAATCTAAAGAATAGCTGCCCTGAAGAAAAAGTCAATACACTATAGATACGAGATAGTTAACAGTGGGAGATATAACTTGTTGTGTGTATACTGTGTGTGGTAATAGTGAGGGATCTGTCGTATATAACCCTCTGTGTCAGGGTGTGAGAGGGTATCCTAGTTTGTGCCTGTCATTTCGACTGTAGGTGTTTAGCACCTTGTGTGTGTGTCTGTTTGCACACCGCCTGTGCTGCAGTGTTGTAGATAAATGAGATAATGTTTCTACTGGCGATGAACACAAGACCTGAATTCCCAAGGTAGCATTTTAGTTGAGAGCAGCCACAGCAGAATTCTAGACTGTGGAACAGATCTCATAGATGATCTGTTTTCATGCGTGGTTAGCTTGTTTTCAAAGCAGACTCAGAACATGCACTCCATCTCTCTCTCTCAGCCACAGATGAAGAACTCCGACTAAATGCTACTGCTGTAAAAATAAAACCCGTATAAAGTCACATCTTTCTTGCATCTCAGTCAAATCCGGCATGTGTGTTCAGATTTTCAGATTTGCAACAAAAAAAAAAAACGCCTACACACATTGAACATGACTCCAGTGGGTAAGGCTTTTGTGCGGCTCACTGTGAACCCATATTACACAGGGATGTGATATATAGTGGCCAATGATCCTGTTATACTTGGAGTCCTATAAATATTATTCCATTCAGCTGGAGGTGACTTGCCAGTTTGCAGTCTTTCAACTGAAGGATGGATGCAGTGCCGTATTTTAAAGCAGGCCACATGTGAGCTGTTCACAGTGTGATTGTCAGAGTGCAGCTCAAATGAAATTGATAAAGGTCATGCATTAATTCAAAACTTGTCAAGCCCCCATCATCTACTCGAACAAGGGAGTTACAGCCAAAGTTGGGGTGCGCAAAGGACGAGTGTGGTCGCATGGGTGGTTCTTTGTGCTGTGTGTGGCTCTCCGGCTCTACACAGGAGCATATATGAGATGTGGTCTGGCGGCATTCAGGGAAATTTGTGCAGGGCAGCCCCTCCCCCTCTCCTTAACTCATCTCCCCCATCCAACCTCAGAATTTATATTCTCCCTCCAGCAAAAGGAAGGACCATCTTGGCCTTTCATTTTCCAGTTCAGGGCTTTCCTTTTTTTGCAGATAAATGCTCTCCAATCCACCCTGACAGATGTCACATTGCATCACTTCCATTTTGATACATTGCCTCTGATCCTGCCACTTGCAATAAGGAGCCAGCACCAGGGACGCCCCTCCCTAGACAACGCTCTGACACGGGTGATTATTTTAAAGGTGCATCATTGGTGGTGCTGAGTGCTGAAACCATAACTGGGCGCCGTGTTCGTGTACACTCGCCACCGTGCCCACTCCAGGAATGTGGGTATCGGGTGGTGCCTGGGTCAGGAAATGACAACAAGGCGACATACTCAGTAGTCATCACAAGTTAGCCTGACACTGTGCAATACCTCTGGCAGCGACTTATGCCGCTCTCAACCGCTTCACAGCAGCGCCCGCCAATCCTGTCTCTCCTCAGTCTCTCCACTGTGACTTCACAGGTCAGAGTTGGAGAAACAATCTGTACAAAGGGAAGGTTTTAGTGCTTCTGCTGCCAGCAGAGACACACTGCACAGTAGCATTAATCATACAAGGCCAGAGTACATCAGTAAACACAGTGTGTCAGGTCAAGGTAAAGATCAGATCCCACAGCATTTAACAGGACTCAATAGCATACAGGCTATCTATTGAAAAGTCAGCGTTATTCATGGCATGTCTCCCAGCCTTTGTTGCTCGCAGGAGAGACACGCCATTGTTCGCCATGCCAGTGCACACTGAAATATTTCTCTGGCTACACAAAAAACACTGGATCAGCAGCAATTAGTAGAGTAAGAGAGAGATAAAGAGAGGAAGGGAGGGAGGCAGTTGAAAAAAAATGAGGGGGAAAAATGTAGAATCAGCGAGAGAAAAAGAAGAGCAGAAAAGAGAGAGTTGAGAGAGATGAATAGAGAGAGAGACCCAGGGAGACAGTAAGTAAAAGAGAGAGAGAGAGAGCGTGATTTTCTAGCCAGTTCAGTACAGTGTGTAGGAAGTTGGAGCTGCCTGTAGCCCCTGGTGCTTTTAAAGGACCAAAGACTTGCTCATTGTCTTGGGTCTCTGTGCCTGAGTGCGTGTGTGTCTTTCTGTGTGTGTGTGTGTGTGTTTCTGTGTGTGTGTGTGTGTGTGTTTCTGTGTGAGTGTGTGTGTGTGTAACCTCTTCATTAGTCTTCCCATTGCTCTTTCCCTCCGGCCCCTGACCACTCACTTACCCCCAGCAGCTACAGTATATGTGCCCATATGGGACTAAACCCACTTATACTAGAGATTAAAATGATCAGTCTTGGAAAAGAGATAATACAATGTGACTCGAGTTCCACCGCTAAATAATGTAGACAGTTAGCAAGGCTCTGTGAACGTGTCTCTGTGTTTGTTTCTGTGGACTCTCTGGTCCACCAACAATGATCCTGTATGTTCTCAAATTGCTTTCATAATTGAGGTCAAAGTTATAATTTAACCTTTTGCCTCTTTGTTTGTTCCAGAAGACAGGAAGTTGTTTGTCGGGATGCTGAACAAACAACAGACCGAGGAGGATGTTTACCGCCTCTTCGAACCCTACGGAGTCATCGAGGAGTGCACAGTCCTAAGAGGTCCTGACGGAAACAGCAAAGGTAGGAGCCATGATACAGTTGTCAGCATTATTTAGGTCACTGACAGAGAAGTGACAGTGTGTGTCAGTGCCCATGACAGCTGGGGTATGTAAAATATATGTGACACATGCATCAGATGTGGGTCAAGATGCATTTTCACGTTTTCACAAACATTTTTAAAAGTACACTGTTTGATGTGCTAGATGGCTGCAAGCAGTGACCAAAAGTTAAGACTAATATATCAAATACTGATGTCTGACTGAAACTGAAACTCGTCAAGTGGGTAATTAGTTTATTTGACTTTTTTGTAGAGAAATTAGTGTCATTTTTTGTTGAAGTAATACTGAAAATCCAAAAGTTTCAGAATCATGCCATATTATAACAGGAAATTCTTTTTTTCTTTTTTTCTTTTTGTTTTGTTTAAAGACAGACAGGAAGGTCTTGGATAGACAGAGGAATAATCTGAGATACAATCCAAAACACTGCACACTGAAGTCACAACCAAAACATCCCATGTTATCAGTAATTGTAATCCCATCAACTATTCAAGAAATGCAAGTAGTTTCAAAATGCTGACTTTGCTATCACAAACTCTTTCTCAGCATATATCGTGTGTCTGTAAAAAAGTAAAAAGAAAAAAAGAACTCTTCTACATTACAAAGCCATGATTTCTGTTCTGTCACTATCCTCGAGTGTTAATCTGAAGCATTTTTTCCTATGGAGGTACTGCAGTCCCGTACTGTAACTTGGGTACTGTAGTGTTGCTATCTTGCAGGCTTTTTTAAGACAGCCAAAAACTTTTGAAGACATCAGTTCCCTCTGACATGCAGCAAAGAGCAAAGAGACTAGTGGTTTTTCATGTCTCTAAAGTCTATTCCCCGTCCAGCGCTTATGGAAATTGTTGTGGAATTATATCTAAGGGGGTTTGAAGCCAGAGCGTTCTGACTGTGCAGTGGTTTGGAGGGGTAAAAGGGAAAGATGGATGTCAAAACAATTCAAGTGTCCCCACTGTGAGGATGGGGGCAGCCAAGGGAAGTTTCATTCCTCTTTGTGGCTCTGATATATTTTGTGCTCTTTCTAAGTCAAGTCTTTGGGTTGAAACACAGCCTCCAAACATTACTATTATATTCATCTTTGCCCGGTGTCTATTAGTTTCTGATGTTATTTTTATTTTTGCCTAAACACCCAAACAAATAAAATATCTCTGTTCCTCTCAGATCTGTTTTGCACTTGGCTTTCGCAAATACTTATTTGTGCAGAAATTAGTGCAACAGTATAAGTTTGATCACAAAATATTTTATGCTCCTTAGCTATTTCATATTGAACACTTTATTTATTTCAAAAAGTGCAGGCAGTGCATGACTTGCAAAGTACCAGTATGTCAGGAATTAAATGCCTAATTATAGGGACATATAGTTTGTACTACTGTAGCAAAGTCCTTGTACAGGTCATGCAGAGCTCTAGCTCTTTTCTATCCATATCTCAATAGGGGGCAGTGGTTTGACAGCTGAATGGGCATCTTGACTGGCTGGTGTCCACAGGGGTAAGCCCATTAAGAGGGGAAGAATGGCAGGGCGGCTGGGTCAAGCAGGATAGATGATAAGCAGAATAAAGTGTGAAAGATTAAATAAGAGTAGAAAAGAAACTCAAAATGAAATAAAATTAGGTGAAATAGGGCGTAATTATAAGAGGGCATGGCAGCTCAGTGGTAGTAGTACTGCTGCCTCACTGCAACAGACCCAGTCTCAGTCCTCATATGCTTCTGTACAAAACGGTAATGGTGGTATCTCTGCACTGCTGTATAATCTAAATGTGTGTCCATTTGTTAGCTGTGTAATAGACTGGTCATGTCCCCCAATGGTCTCGTCCTTTCATCCAGTGCATCCAGGAAGACACCTGGATGAAGACAGTATAAATATAATCAATATTCTAACATCAGCATTTACTGGTTATGTAATTGATAAAGTGATGATTTGGGAGGGTATGGGCATGTAGGGACACTATATTAGTCTTGAGAGATTGTTACAGTATGTTTATGAGTTTATTTAAAGAAGTTTATACCACAGCACTAAGAGTCTTTTTAAACAGGCAAAGTGTACAGCTTTGAATCAAATTGTGGTATATTTTTCAAGTTATAATATTATCCATACCCCAGTTCTGAAATGGGGGCCATACTCCAGTCTAATAATTGAATAATTAATGTGCAACAGCAATGTGCACTTTGTGAACCCACAAAAGCCATTTTCAACTTCAACCTCTGACAATATTCCTCAAAGACATTAGAGCTGAGAGTGTTGGTTCTGTGGTTTCTGGCATTTGTACTTCATATTCACGAATACTGATCAGAACATCCTGTTGTAGGAACAATAAAGTTTACTGAATTCTCAAATTGGGTTGTTTTCTATCTGAAAACATTATGAGATTAGTCAGATTAGCTAGTATTTAATATGCACAGACAGGCATGTGGTGCTAAATAGCATGCTTTTCTGCTTCATCAGTGCAGTGTTTAGCCTGCAGCTTCTGCCTGCTTGTCTGCCTGCCTAATACCCGGAGTGGGGCAGCCTGCTGTGCAATGAGAGCCTCTCACTGCACAGTGATTTCTGTGGTGTCAAATAGAATTCAACATCCTTTATTAATGTACCGTAGGCTTTTAAACTCACTCAATTGAATATATTTACTGTATGTATATATATATATATATCCTGTGTGTGTGTGTGTGTGTGTGTGTGTGTCTACCTGCATGTGTGTGGTATGCATCTGTTCTCTCTTCCAGGTTGCGCCTTCGTCAAGTTCTCCACACATACTGAGGCTCAGTCTGCAATCAGTGCCCTCCACGGCAGCCAGACCATGCCAGTGAGTACAGCTCTATTCCTCCGATACACAAACACGCATAGAGAAATAGCAACATACACACACCACGCAACATCCTTTGTATGCACAACACAAACAAGTCACAGCCCACCACTCACAATAGCTCACATAGTGCTATCCACCTCTCCTGATTGGAAATTTTGAACTTACCCCCAGCTTCAGGGTTTTAATGAACTTATAGAAAGTGCAATCATCTTCATAAATATCCCAAGTTTGTTTTGTTTTTTTTAAGTAAACAGATACAACCAGAAATAGCCTTCTGTCTCTTTAATTAACATGCTACTTAAAAAAAAAAAAAAATCCAAATCTAATTTCCAGATAAAACTGTTTAGAATGATAATTGAATTTTGGGTGAGTCATCAATCAGTAGTTCTGCTTGCATAATCAGTGAATATAACTCCAGTGTGAGATTACATTTGCTCGTTATGTAAGCACAGCGTGTCCTCTGAATTCTCTCTGTATTGGATTTACTATGAGCGAAGGAGCTGTACTGCTCATTTGTATGTGTCTCATGTGTTGGCATGGTCGCTGTATACCTGATGGTGTCAAAATAAAAGCTACTTACTCTGCATTCCAAACCTGAATAGAGTTATTCTCCGTGACATCGGGCGAGCGGACAAGGAGTCACGTCCCATATTACTCAGTTGCCTGAAGTATATTTTGCTTTTATCCTCATTTTTGTTTTGGGAACCCTCGCTTCAGAGAAGCAGGGACCCTGAACTCTCGCCCACCCTATCTCACAGGTGTTGTGTTTCACTGTATGATTTCATTATTAATGGTTGCCAATGTGTGGCTCAAGAGAGGAACGCAGAGAGAAGCGCTAGAAACCAGCTGTGCCATTTTGGCACAACCTCCAAGTCAATCTAAGTGCAAATGACTGGAGGTCAGGAGGAAACTCTGGATGTCCATTCTTCATAGATACCCTCCTTCTCTGTTGCTCCATCCCCCTATCTCTGCTAGCTCTCTGCCCTAGCTCGTCTCTTTTTGGCAGCCTCTCGGGATATTAGGCAATAGACTTGTTTACTCCACCTTTCACCACATTGGCTGCTGAATTATTCATCTAACTATAAGCAGGGGGCCAAAGGGAGGGGAGAAGAGCTGGAGAGAGAGTGAGAGACGGAGGGAGAGGGGCGGGGGCAGAGGGAGAATGAGTGAATGGACAGGATTTATACCTCCTGCTCTGGTAAATTGATTATAGAAATCTGATCAGCATCTCATATCCTGTGGCTGCTGGAGGAGAGGGCACAGTGTGCCTGCCTAGCTGAGATTAGTGGACCACCGGTGGACCATTACGCCTCAGCAGGACACTGCTATTCAGAGCAAACTGTCCATCAGTGAAGCAAAGATCCTGGAAAAACCTTGGACCATACATCCTCTGTGTCTATTCGAGTTCATGTTTAATGCAGTTGAGTCACTGCTGCAAAAAGAAGTCATTGATTGAATGAATAAATAAATAATCTTTCGTTTACAACACATTGGGGTGGCATAAATAAAGAAGTAAATAAAGGAAGAAAGACCACTGACAGCAGCAATGCAGGATACATACTGAACTTGTAATCAATGGATGCCTTCACTGCGTCCAGTTTGCAACTGCTATAAGCAATCGCTGCATTCCTACTTCTCTAAGGCTAATAGAAACAATTAATTGTTCTTATGAACTAAGACAAAAGGCGCCAGCATATGTATATTTGCTGCCCCACTAAGGCTGTGGCTGATAAGCAGAGGCAGAGAGATAACTATGAATAAAGCCCAGCCAATAGCATCGCTAGCTGAAGTGCACCGAATAGTAACACAGCGACTAACTACAGCAGTTTGATAGATCTACTGCCAATCCCCCCAAAGCATGAACGCTGGCTTCTTAGAGTTTATGAGTTCACACACACATACACACACACACATGAATACATGCTTGTGCATACATAAACATCTATAAACAGAAGCACTTTATGGATAACACATTTGCATGAGCACTCACACATATACACACTTTCTATATCGCTCCTCTCACTGTTTCACTGTCACATGCTCGTACAGCCACGGGCTAGGGTCAAAGGCTCCCTGCCTGATCTTATTTTCCAGCTCAGAGGACTTGAGCTGAATACATTTGTGTTATTCATGTAGAGGGGGAGTGGGCTTTTTGTATGTATTGTATGTGTGAGTTGGGAATGAGAGAGAAAATCTGCATGGAGAGTGTGCACATATGTGGAGTGTGTGTGCATAAATGACGGTCAGTGCATGCAAAGGTGTACTTAATGCATGCATACCATGAGTGGAAGCGCACATGCTTCCATGTATTCAACTGTACATTTGTGATGGATACCCAAATGATGAATAATCCGCCAATAACTAACTACCACATAATGTCAGTGTATGAACAATGATACTAAGATAGTGTAAGTGTGTGAATTATAGGAGTGCATCGGCAGGTCACATATAAGACCTTGACTGGATCTCCATCACACCCTAACCCATCATATTTCAAGCATGCAGACCTCCACCTCCCATACACGCCATCACCATCCCTCAGCCTCCTTCAGCTATTGCACATGCGCGCACACACACACACACACACACACACACACACACACACACACACACACAGCTACAGTTCAGGATATGAGTGGCTCAATTAAACATTTAAACGCTAGAGCTGTAAAGCAAATTGCTGGGATTCAGCAGGGCCGTGTAGGAAGTAAGTCCCGGGACAGAATTACACCGAGACGAGGGGGGATGCGGGTCAGGTCCACAGAGCCATGCTGATTTTTTTCACTCCATATCCGCATTAGCTCAGCCTGAGTTTGAGGATGTTTCAGCTGACACAGGGACTAGAGATAGTAACACTGGAGCAGGATGATGGAAGGATAAGAGCAGAACAAAGGAAAGCAAATGAGGTAAAGTTTGCATAGAAGAGAGAGCTTCATGATTGAGAGTAAAGAGGGTTTTTTTTTTTTTTTTTTTTTAAAGCAGCCAAATGTGGTTCCCCAGCTGCTGGGTCTTCTTTATTACTTTAGAGTGAACATGCAACATGCAAGTGCCATGAGTGCCAGGATTTGACAAGAAGACACATTGTTTTAATGTACAGAGCAGCATGCTACTGCCTTAAACAGTAACAAAATGAAAGAAGGGAAGGCAAAAAAGCAGCAGATATTGTGTAAAATGTGGTTTCAGTTGGAAAACAGTTATGATCTCATTGTGTAGTCAATGTGATGCAGAGTTTTAATGTCAGTATTTCACAAGGATGATAGATTGTTGTGTTTCTACTCATTAAACAATGTTCTGCCTTATTTTTGTATATTTCTTTGAATTTACATTCCAATAACCAAATAGATTATAGTCATCCGTTACTTTACTTGCCAAGTTTAAAAATGATGTGTATTTATACAGTATGATTCCAGTGGGTAGTTGGGATGGAGAAATGGGTGGTGATGGCTTATTAGAATACAGTAATAAGCATTGCATAGCGTCATGTAAAGTACATGAATTATGGGATATAAACTGTAGTTCCTAACTGTATATGTAGCATCAATATTCATTTTTGCCACGCGTTATTGTGGGCACAATAAAGCAGTCACGGATGTTTGAATTCTCAAGGGAAATCTGTCATGTACTGTATAAGATATGTGAAACTGACCATAGCCTCAAAATAAACAGATGAGCAGCACATGATACACACTCATGTTGCTGAGTGAGAAATTCTGGTCAAATGAATTTTTCACATTAAATCCTAACTTTTTGAACGCAAATTGTTTTTTAATCTATTGTACACATTGTGGATGGAATATGAGGTCATATGTTGTGGAGAGACGGGCAGCTTTAGTGGGAGCACATTCTGATTAAAAGAGGCGGTTTTTATTCTCTAGGCAGTGATGAAAAAATCATGTCTGTGTACGACAGACATGATTGAAATGGTATTTATCAGAAAGACAGAAAGATGGGATGCTATTTCTTGATTTTTGTTTTTGTAGTAGCAGGGATGGACTGAATCATGGAGACTGAGACAAATTTGCCACGTGACACTTGAAACCAACACAGCTATAAACCAACACAGGACACAGGATTAACCTTCCTTCTAGTTTCACCCTAAACTAACACAAGCTGGCATATGATAGGTCTTTTCTCAATCTGGGTTCCTTCTCTGTATTTGTGTTGTTGCAGACTTGTGAAACGTCACAGCACAAGTACTGTTCCAAATCAAATCCGAATCTTGCTAAGTACAAACCAAATTCCCGGAAGTGTTCTCACTCTGCACGTTTTATCGAGGAGCTGACTTGTGTGGAAAGTGAGAAAGTAACCATGAAGACTTTCTTTCTTTCTGAACTGTGGTCAGTTTAGAAAGAAAGCCTGTTTGGCATTTTTGGAGAGGTGAGACTGGGGTCATCTCGATGTGTGCCGCCATCCCGGGAGAACAGTCTTATCTCAGCAAGCCCATTGGCAATTCACCGCTGGCTGTGTTGTCTGTAGCGTTCTGATATATGATAAAATTTCTTTTGGACGATGAAATTTTGTCTCAGAGTTGAAATATAATATTTGTTGCTGCCAATTAGTCTGAGAAGATGAAGCTGAATACATAATAAATACATGATTTGTTGGACAGTTTAATAACAGTGCTGCCTCTGTAGACTCTCTGGGTTTCTTATAGGTACAGATACCACCACATTTCAATGAAAATAAATATATATAAATGAAAATGAACAGAGGCAGTGTTGGCTATATTTAGCTATATTTCATTCGATTTTTTTTTTTATTCATACATTACAGATCGGATATCAATTGTATCTTTTATGACACTGTTTGTGGACCTTTGAGTTTAGGTTATTTTGTCACTGTTCAGTGCTGAGCTGACCCGCTGATATTAGCAAGATATCACGGTCGATACCGCTGCTGTTACAATTGCAAATAGTCCTCCCATCCCCGCGAGTCTGGACTTCTGAGGTGAACTTGCTAAGTTTGAACTCGCAAGTACGGGAGTCTGAACTTGGCATGTATTGAGAATTCAGTATTGAGTAAGGCCTATATATGTATAAAGTTAAAGAAGTAGCTTTATTCACATGAGGGAGTGCAGCTTGGACACAAACCAACCCTCCTTGGCAATGAGAGGGAACTGTAAAGAGGCAGACTTCCTTTATGTGGTTCTGAATCTCTGTCGTTCGTATTTTATCCACCCTGTTTAACTCCCTTTCCTTCAGTGGCTCTCTAGGTAGCCGGGAGCCGCTCAGCAGGGGGATTCTGCTCATACTTGGCAGCTTAAAAATTTAATGAGACTTTTACTTCACACTTCATCCTCCTCCCTTTATAGCAATGGAGATTTTGCTCACTGATATTCTGACAAGCCTAACTGGGAAAACCTGGGAGATAAACAAATGACAACGGATGCTTAGCCGACAAGCCATAAGATTCAGGTGCACTGAGGAGAACCAGTGGGAGGGCAAACTCACTGTATAGACCTTCTTGAAAAAAGCTTTGCAGAGTGTGGGACGTACATGCAAGACTATGACAGGGAATGGCAACAGGCTTTTATACAACCAGACAGGTCAATTCACAGAAAACCATGTTTCTATTACTCCAGTCTAGTTCTAGATGGAAAGAAGGTTGACTACAAAGTTCCAACTTAATATCCTCAGGTTATAAAAATCAACCTTCCTTAAAAAATTAAAGAAAGAGAGCAGGAACGCTGAAAGGGAGTTAAAATGTTTCATGTACAACATGTACTAACACATCTCTTCTGTATTCTGGTCCTGCAATGCCCTGTCCTGGACTCTCCCAAAGTTAAACTGCATAATAAAGTTAATGATGCAGATAGTAAAAAGCTGGACAGACACAACAGACAAAGCCTAAACATGCATCTGTGCCAAAGTTAACCTGGTGACTAAGTGCCCTCCTAATATACAGTAGTGTATGAGGTGATGCTGAAGAGAGTGAGTTACAGATAGCATATCTCTTTTAGATTATGTTTTTCTATCTCCTGTTCCTATCATATTTTAATTATTGCACAATCAAACATGACTGTCAGTGACCAGGAAAAGTGTTGTTCCAATGTGGCAGGACGGTGCATACAGTAAGAATCAAAACAATTAGTAACTCAGCCGGACAGAGTACAGATGTCAGCCATCTTCACAGTCTGACAATTAGTCTGTCAGCCAGTTAGCCAACCATCAACCATCATAGTCAGTCAATCACTCTCCTAACTAGACAATAAGCCATTTAGTCAGTCAGCTGAAGTAACTGGCCATCCACCTACAATCCTTCAACCACCGAGCAAGCCAGGGGGTTGAGGGCTCCAGGGAATATTGAGAAAAGTTGTGGAGAGAAAGGAAGAGGATAAAATCTATATGCTACAGTCGAAAGGTCCAGTGCCTGTCTTTGAACATCACTAGACATCTCAGTAGATGCCTTTATTAGCAGACATCCTCAGTTCTCAGTCAGGGAAAAATACAAAGAAGGGGGAAAGAAAACCTATAATGCAATTTGTAAAAATCACCATTACATTTATCATTTATAAATGCTTTAATTCAGTCCAAGTCGTGCCAGGTTTCACCCAGATCCAAGCCAACAAAGAACCACCCCTTTAGACCTTTAAAACCCCCAACCCCCAACCTCCAGTCCCAGCACTTCACAAGTCACCACTGTTATTGACAATCTTGCATCAATTTCAGGGGGCCTCTTATTGTGACTGACACACAACCTTTCTACACTGTCAGATCAGAGTAATATTTCGGCCTTTTATGTGGATCGATTGGCCAGTTTGGGGGCGCAGAGGGGAGGAGAGGCGGAGCACACAAAAGGTCAACTGTAGCGCTAAATCATTTGAAGATTCTTAATGAAGGGTGTGTGGCAGACACACCTGCTGGTTTCATTATTGGGCTGCAGAAAGGAGGCAATAGCACTGATAGCCAGAGCGAGAGGAAGAGGGAGGCTAAAACAGAAATAGGACAGAATGAGGGAAATTGCCCAAAAAAACAACATTTTCTTTGAAGAGCGCTCTGACCAAGGTCAATAGGAACCACCGCCAATAGTAGCTCTGATTTCAAATCATTATATGTGGCAGATCTTTTTCCCTCAACTGTGGGAAGGAGCACCAAGGTTACATATATGTACTGTACTGGATGGAGAAAGCTGGGGGGGGAATATAAAGTATTTATGTTATGCAGGCTGCTTTACCCTGAGTGACTTTGTACATTTGTTGAACACTGATTGAAGGAATGGAGGGGTTCTGTCCCCACATCTGCCAACAGAGCTGTTCGCACAATAAGTTGAATGTTTGTATTATTTACATATCTCTGTTATGGTTCATGTTTTTGTTTGCCAGCCATAAAATAAAGGAGGAACGATGCTCTGCAATAATACAAATGTGTAATGATGTTGCATAAAGAATGCCAAAAAAAAACTGACATGCAATTAGAGGAGCTGACTAGGTATTGATGTTAACAGCAGTTGTTGACACTAATGAACACAGCATACTAAGAGATCATAAATAATAACGAAGAACATTCCTCGTGCACTTTCTCAGCCTTTTGTGAGTGTCTGTCTCTAAATATGCAGGAAATCATAACAGTCACATATGCAAATTATTCCCTGATGTGGCTTGAAACCTTTTGGGGATAGAGGATGTACACAAGGATGTACAGAAGATTGTCTTCCTTCAGTTGACTGACTGCATAAATGATAGTGTAAAAGGTGCTTGCAGCAAAGCAGGGTTAACTGTCCATGCTGTCTTTCCTCTGATCTTCTGTTCCCTCTGCCGCCCGCAGGGTGCTTCCTCCAGCTTGGTGGTCAAGTTTGCCGACACAGACAAGGAGCGCACCATCAGACGTATGCAGCAGATGGTTGGGCAGTTTGGCATCTTCAACCCAGCCATCGCCCTTCCCTTCAGCACCTACAGCTCTTACGCACATGCGGTGAGTTGGAAAAGCCATAGACATAGACGCACAGCAGAATTTAAATAGATTAAGAGTCTGACCTGAGAATTTGTCCCATGGCATTATGTATATATCTACAGTACACATTTGAGAATGAAATTACGATGAGTGTAAGAAATCATCCCAAGGGTTTCTTAATCTTTACATTGAAATTTTAAGGGTGTTGGCGTACTGCTAATTCATTTTTATCTCAGTTCTTCAAGCTTCTATAATCAAAATTTTTATATTAACAATGAATCAAATGACTATACGTGTATGAAAGTGCTGGTCAAAATGAGGAACCCATCGAGAATTATCACTCGCCTGCAGTTCCCCTCAGATCTACAGCACGGAGGGTTTTGGTTTCATGGGACGAATGTTTTGGTTCATGTTCATGCATGTTTTGTCACCACTCTCATAGTGTCACTTTCAGCCACAGTAGGCAGTAGCTAAAACTTACTGTAATCTATCTCTCCAACTCCAAACAACAGACGGACAAAGTTAGCGACTAGCTGATGAACATAGTGACACATTTAGTAGCTGAAGAGCCAGATATTTCCCTCTGGAGTTGGTGGAAAGTAAACCAGAGTGAATATTGGGTTTCATTTATCAGTGGCCAGAAACATGACTCCAAATGAATCCTAATGTTGCTCCATATCTGCTAGAAACAGAGAAACAGAGCTCTGTATCTAAAAGATATGGAGCTAATGTTGTGTTTGTGTTTACACCTTGTTTTTCATATCTTTTATTCCACCAACCTTACCAACATAAAAAGTCTTGGAAGCTATATTTGATTTATCCAATATGCTTAAAGCTGTTATGTGCAGATTTCCAAAAGTTCCATCTTGGGAGCCGCCCAGTGGGGCAAACAAACCCCTCCCGTGGATGAATGGAGTGAAAGCAACACAGGCTGTATTCATTTTTTCCTGGATTCCCTCATTTTTCTACAAACAGAAACATAGAATAAGATCACATAGGTCACATTTTTTTTTATTTATCTGTAAACCCCATTGAGATGATCAGTGATGTGGACCACTCGTGTGTCAAGACTCATATCACTCGTGGGATGAACAATTTAATGTGGGATTTTTTCTACCTGGGATTTGCTGCAATTGGTCCAAATACACATCACATAGGTTAACACGGGATATCTACCACTGAAAACTGCAGTTTATAACTTTTCTGGTAATTCCACTCCAAAACTTTTCGCTGGCAAATTTTCTTGCATTTTGAGCCCTGATTGGTAGATGTTGTTGTAAGTGAAACTTAGCTCGCCAAACTCTCATCACCACTCTCCACTGCTCTCCTCTTAAGCACTGCTGCCATGCCATTACATTCACTACCCTCAGCACGTAGGCACGTTGGCTTGTACCCTCCAACCCTTCATCAGCTTCCCTCTGCCCTCCCCACCCCCGCCTACTGTACCCCACCCTCAGGGCATGGCACCGTACGCACACAGCAGACCCCCGGCTCTTTGATGAGTTCAGACAGCCTCTGCAGCCCCTCTCACCATGCGCCCCCTCTACCCTCTATCACTGATTCTCTACCCTTCCCCTCTCCCTCCCCCTGTCCCTCCCTCTGGGCCTATGAGATGCTTCAGGGGCCACAGTTGACTCAGAATATTCCATGGGCAACTTATCTGCACACAAACTTTCTTCTTCCCTGCTGAGGCAGAGCACACACACGCAGGCAAATGCACACACATGCGCACAACCTACTTGAAGCAGGCTAAAATAAATTTAAGAAAAGCTTTGCATCCAGTGTTGAGATAAAAACCTGGGCCTCTGTAACAACACACTGCACAAATACACATAGACAGTATTTATAGCATTTATTTACAAAGGAGGAGGAACATAAATTCCTCTTTTCCTGTACTTATTTGGATGTAAAAGTTACATTTTTTGCTCCTTCTAAATGCCAGGATTAATTGTTGACGTTAGCCAGGTCTTGGGGGCTTATCCATTTCCCTCATTTTCATATCACAGCCATGGGACCCAGTGTGAAATGTGCAAATTGACCATCCCAGAGTAATTGCGAGGCCATCTCTTGTGCTCTCTCCAGTAAAACTCCCACCTTCATTACCATTCATGAAATGCAGCCCTTTCCCAGGAAATGTGGAGAAATGCAAATGTTTAAGGGGTGGTGGAGGCAGTGGCGGTCTGCGGGGAGACCATTGTGCCCCGCTCAGGTTGGCCATGACTCTTATTTACTGTGGCAGAGACCCGTGTCGACTCATACAGACGTGCACAAGAGTGTACACACACCGCGCAGCAAATGTTCTTTCTTTCTCTCTTTTTTTTCCTCCCTCTCTCTCATACACACATATAATATGACAAAGAGCAGGATGATGCTAGGAAATTGAGTTCCGACTGAAAGTAACAAGGGCATGCGGGATACTTCAGCATTAGAGAGAATCAATTACCATTAAATCTGGAGGAGAAATTGCACATATGTGGTTTCTCGACACAAAGATTATACAGCATGAATGATGGTAGTGAAGGTGAAATTCTCCTTGTATTAGTATTATGAATCACAGAGACTCTGGATGCCATGCACCTGCACATAATGAATTCAGCAAAATAAAGCAAGCAACTCTGAGGCAAGGCAACCTTGGAGATAAACTCACCCCAACTATTGATAAAGTAATGAGTGCACAAGAGGCAGTAATGGATTATCAGCAAGGGTCTTGTTTTTATATCACGCTAAAGACTTATTTAATGAATCTAAATACTGGTTCAGACTGCTAGGTGCGTAATAATGTGGAATAAAGGCAAATATTAGTTATCTTTAGTGTGGGTGTCCAGCTTGCACAGTGGTTATGATTACATTACAGTCATTGGCACTGGCTGCATGCACATGGTGTGCAGCCGTGATTCCCCTGTAGCCACCGGGAATGTGCTGAAGTGATACGATGAATGTTTCTTTACGGCAAGATAAACTACACATATTCCCCCAAGACGAAAAACCTGCAGTGACAGAAAAAGGACTTTATCTCCAAAGACACACTACATGTTCGCCTACTCTTCATATACACTGGCCAAGAGAAGAGGAGGTGGCACAGTATAGAATACAGACGTGGGGAGAGATGGTATATATAGCTATAACCAGAGAGTACAGTAAATGGTAAATTCAAAGAGCTACCTCTCCACTACAGCAGTGGATAGGATTATAGAGTTGAGCTGACAGCCAGTAAATTGGATTTTAGGAGAAGGAGGGGGCTCTGAACACAAATTGGAGAGGTACAACACTGACAACATATGCCAAAAATGAGAAATGTGCCATTTTCACGATAGACACAGATACTGGTGTGCTCTGACAGGAGACATCCTATTTGCAAAAAGGTGATTTCATAAAACACAAGCCGAAGGAGAGCGAGAGAGTGAGATTCCATGTTTCATTCCAGTGTTCGTGGTAAGTGATAATAGTTGAATTGCTGAATGCAAGTAATAAAACCAGATTTTATTACCTTTTGGATTTCCCCTTCAAGACACAAACACCATATTTGTACATGATTAGATTTGATTCAAGTCACTTTTCTTCCCTCCCCTTCTAAAGCCGTGTCTCTTTGTAAAGACAGCCATTTTAGCTTCCCTTTGGGTGGAGGACTACATGCTGTGTCAGTGGACAAGAGAGAAGTTTCTCCAGCACCCAGCCCCTCTTGCCTCCCTCAAAGATTCTCTAGTGTGATATAGATAAATGAGAGGAGAGAAAATGGTTTAACTTGCTGCTAATAGTGACAGTGTGTGGGTGGATGAGGGGGAGGATGATGACAGTAAACTCACATTAGGAAACATCTCCCCCTGTTGGAGGGACTCACATTCGAAACGGAGCCTTTTGCAACACAGCCCACATGAGGAATGATGGTAACAGATTACTGCATCATTTGGCTGTACAGTAAACTGCCCGCACACACACAGACACACACAGGCATGTGTGTGACCTGGTTTGGCTGTTTTATACTTGTGAGGACCAGCTCTTGACTGCCCCCCACCCCCCCGCATGTGTCTACACACACACACACACACACACACACACACACGCGCGCGCGCACACACACACTCACACCCCCACGCGCGCGTGCGCACACATAACAAAGTGCATCAGAGATGAAAAAACCTATTAAAATCTTTGTGCGGAGATACAGCCTGCTAGCATGGGGGTAACAAATGAGGCCCTTGAGCTTCAGTCTTCTGTCTTCAGTCTTTTAGTTCACCTCAGTGACCCACTGCCTCCCTCTCTCTCTCATTTTTTCAACCTTTTTCAGCGTCTCTCTCTCTCCCCCTTACCCCCCCGCCGCCCCTCCCTTCGTCCGTCCCCGCCTGGTTGGGCTATAAGGGGTCACATGTGACAGTGCTGAGAGTCAGCGAGTCACAGAGCAGCGCTACAGAGATAATTGCCATGTGATAAAGAGGTGATTGCCTGCTCTCACCAGGGGAGAGTAATGCCATCAGGTTGCAATAAAAAAGCAGATGTCTGACACTAAATGAATGCTACTGGAGCCCGGGCAACTTTCTTTGCTCCTTTTCATCTCATGCACTTCTCTTTTGTCCCCCTTGTTTCTGTCTGCCTTTTCTTCCCTCTTCCTTTCTTTTCAAGAGGAAGCAGAAAAGGTTGTGTCTGTGATGATGAAGACTCAGTTGTGCTCATTCTCCGCCAGAGACATTTGCTATCTGCTGGGTAGTGCATAAATAAAGAAATGGGAATGGCTTTTGAATATAATGCCTTTGAAAATTTGAAAAAGAAGAAAAAAAGCATATGCATACGAAAAGTAAAATGGAATGACTTTGAATATCTCTGTCAACATAACCACTCTGCTTTTTGTTCTTTATTTTATTTATTTTTTTATCACAGCCAGTTTGTATTAACCACTGAATTCCGACATAATTACATGCTTGAGTTTCCAATTTGCTGCATTTTAATTTGGAACGAAGCATCAATGAATGCCAGAGTTGTTATCCGTGACAATCTGACGGATGGCATTAAGGATTGCATTATCTAAGACTTGCATTGGGAGGGAGGCTAGTATTCTGAAGTCACTAGTATTCACTCCCACTCCATTATTGCCCTGTCCAGCCCTCCAGCTTGTATAAGGCCACAGGGCCCACAATGAATAGGCTACAGGCTTATTAGAATCAACCCTAAGTCTCCAGTCCTCACTGAAAGCAGTGAATGGATCCAGAGAAAAGAAAAAAACAAAAAAAAACAAACAAAAAAAAAACAGTGAGTGGTGTGACAGTGTATTTATTCTGTAATACCAGCCCAGTCAGACCCTTCATCCTGAAGTCCAGCCCAGTTCACATCCTAATAGGAGGGCAGTCACAGCATTGCTAAAGCGAGGGAGCCCCAGATCCTCTGGACCTATTTGTTTGTTTTTTATGTCATTGCTTTTGTTTAGTTTCTTGTTCCCTTGCTGTCTTTTGTAGCTGTGCCCCCTTAAAGGCTCAATTCATCTTATTTGGAAAGGAATGGATGATCCCCATTTGTCACGTTGATAAAATTATGCAAATGACAAAAGGCGTTAATAGATAGCAATGCCAAAGCTTGAGGCTAATGGATGAGATGCCAATGTTGGGCACTCTATAGCGGGACAGTCGCTTTCAGGTTACCTGACAGGAGCACTGAGGGAAAATAATTGGCTTTTCCGTTGCAGGGTCCCCATGCAAATACAAGCAGAGTGCCATTCTATACCTCCACTGTCTCACACTATCGTCATTAGCATTAGTGCCAGTGGCAGAGGAGTTTGATTTCTGCTTATACGAGTCAGTCTCAGCAGCTCCCCTGACACATAGCGGCTATGCAGTATTAAACAGATGCAAAGTCAGGGGCAAGAGGTTGGTCCATCTGTGTTTGTATTCCTACATCACACACGTCTGCATGCCTGATGGGCAGCTACACGGCCTGCAAAAGATTATTGATTCCCCAGATAAACCCATTGGTTCACAAGCTGCAAAAGCCATTGTACAATGATGGATTTTCTTCTGAATTAGGCATTCAGCATTTGGTTTGCACAGGGAGAATTTAAGCTGAATGCGGAAACTCAAATAGTCTCCACGGCTCCTCATGCATGTTGCGTGTACGTGTGTGTTTGTGTGTGAGCACAGTGCAGGGCGACGGTGCATGTGAGCATGTCCTATGCATATGAATAAACACTCTGTGGGCTGCATTTGATGGAAAATAGTTTCTGCTCTCACTTCTCACTTCATGCTAAGTAGAAGGGCAGACTGAATGAAAGCATATTGATTTTTATCTCATTGTGGGGCGTCCAATGGTCGAAAAGGTGTCTGCCAATGGCGTTATTTGGACACACAACTTACTGTATTACTAACATGGTTTGGAATTTGAGTTGCTAGCTATGCCTGCTTTAAGAATATTGTTTAATGACTCAGGGCCTGGATTCAGTGACTTCTCAAAACAGCCAGTGTGGAGTTGTACAGGTATTACAAAAATCACAATGTTGTTTGGTAAAATTATGTCTCTAACACAGCTTTTCACGCAAGTAAAGACCATGGTCATGCAATTAAGACTAAATGTATTCTGTTTGCAGAATGCCTTCTATTTTGGCAAAAGTAGCCCAGAGTCAGGCCGAGTGGTTTTCCGACTGAATTATAAAACAAAGCAAATTTTAAACTCTGGATAGATGTCGAGCTATAAGCAGCAATCATTACAAATACATCAGAAAAATTAGAGATGAGTTCAGGGAAAAAGATGAGAGTGCGAGACGTCCGTGGCATTTCTATACAGCCAAACAGAATATTGTGAAGTTTGACAATTGTAAGGAAAAAGCATTGCAACTCTTCTGCAAACTTTGCCTGTTCCCTAAGCACAAAGATAATGTGCACATGTCAGTGCCTTGATTTGTATGAGCCCAACAGACAGCTATTAAATTGTTTCTGCAGCTGGTGACAGGCTTCCTGCTGGGAGAATAGACAGATTCACTAAACATAGGTTGACAGGCTTCTTTTTTCTTCCCTTTCTTTTATTCCGCTCTACTTTCTCTGTACTTCCCATGCACTATCCATCCATCAACCTCAACATACATCCCTCCCTCTGTTCTACCCTTGCAATGTTTCTCTCTCCTCTCTCGCTCCCCTTCTCTCGTCTTTGTCTGACTCCTTCCCAACTTACTATATTTTTCATTACCATCTGTCCTCCCCTCACCTCTGTTGCACCCCGTTCTCCCTCCTGCTCTCTCACACACCCCATCCAACCCTCCTATCCTCCACCCATCTCTCCGTGTCCCTCTTCTTTAGCTCATGCAGCAGCAGGCAGCCATCATGGCAGCAAGCCACGGAGGTTACCTCACGCCTAGCGTGGCTTTCCCCGCCACACAGATCCACCAGATGGGGGCGCTCAACATCAACAGTCTCCCACCCACCCCCATGACCCCGGTGTCGGGTGAGTTTCATCAAACCCTGGGTGAGCACTCAGTTTCATTCCCTTTACTCCTCTGATTGTGTGTGTGTGTGTGTGTGTGTGTGTGTGTGGGGGGGGTAATGTCTTACTGTAAGTGTGTAGGTTTTATGTACGTGTGTGTGTATTTCTATGTGCCAGTTATATTCCTGTAGGAGGTCAACTTGTGTTTTTGATAATGATAATGATAATGTATGAATATTTGAATATTGTGTGAGTATTTGTGTGTGTGTGTGTGTGTGTGTGTGTGTGTGTGTGTGTGTGTGTGTGTGTGTGTGTGTGTGTGTGTGTGTGTGTGTGTCAGTGTGAGAATAAAAAAAAGTAGAGCGGCAGCAAGGCCAAAAGACAGAGTGCCTGCTTACTGGTAATCCAAAATTATTCCACTGGAGAGAAAGACAGTCTAAGATGAAAAAATACATTCAGTGGGATTTGCATGTTTATGTTGTTTGTGGATGCAGAAAATATTTGGGGATAGTAGCAGTCGAATAAGGAATATCAATAAGTAAGTTTACAGATAAGGCACTAATTTCCCCGTGGTATTTTGACCTTGTGCTTTGAACCACTTGCGCATGATCTGCATGCAGTTGGTTTTGTTTTCCATAACAAACACCTCCTATGCAGATAGATTACAGAGGAAAGAGAAGGACTTTGAAATACCTACCCACTGCATAACATTTGCTTACTCAGCGGTGTTTCATTTTCCTTGAGACAGAGGAAACACAAGATTCTCCACTCAACAAAAGCATGAGCCGAAATAAATAATACAGCAGTATCCAAGTCTTTGTTGTGCTCCGCTCACCTACTTTGTCTACACTGCAGCATTGAGTTTTTAAGGTGATGACTTTGGTAACTTTAAACCAATCAGTGTGTGAGAGAGAGAACCCCCATCAGTGCAACAAAGCCTATTTTAGATTTACTTTATAGCCATCACAGGAAACGAGCATCTTACTACAAACTTGCTGCACTAAGTCATATTTTCCCTCTGCACTGTGGTTACTGTGGGGAAAAAAATATTCCCTTAAGTTGTAGTATTCTTTTCGCTTCTTCATCCAAAGACACAAAAAGGACAGTTTTATTGTACAATGTTTAGTCCTGCTCATCTCAGTTCACAACAGTCTTTTAAATTAGAATGTACAGAACAGACTGCCGATCAGGTGCTGAAATAAGTGCAACGGGACCCTTATCAACCTTTTAATCAAGCATGTCTTCACCTAAAGTCAAAGGAATGTGTGCACATAAAGTGAGATGATAGAACATACCCGTGGACACACAGGCTGTATGTGAACAATATATAATTTTCAACGTCAGGCAATACATCTAGAGAGGAGAGCCATTTGTCAAATATTCACAGTGATGTTTTCAGTGCAAAGTGTGCACTTTTGGGCGGGCATAATCAATCAGGCAGTGATTAAAAGTGGAGCTCAGTATTGCTGCGAAGCTCTTATTTTGACAGGTAAAGCACTGACAGCAAGGCAATTCAGATCTTTGTTTTCAGCATTCATACCTGTATTTTGTAACACAATAGTGCTGATGAAAGATAGTGCAACTGTATTGCAAGGAACTCAATCTGTAAGTGTGTGTGTGTGTGTGTGTGTGTGTGTGTGTGTGTGTGTGTGTGAGTGTGTGTGTGTGTGTGTGTGAGTGAAAGAGAGAGATGGGGAGCTTTATCTTCCAGTCCGATTGAATTGTTTGTGCTGTTTGGTATCTCGTAGCCTACATCACTGTCTTACTTGAAAGGAGATATTGCTGAATTTTGTTGGATATTTTGTAAAAGCTAAACAAAAATACTTGTATAGAGAATGTATAGAGAACTTTAAGGCAATTTCATATCAGCTGGCAATGCTAACAACTTGGCTTAGGCAAGGACAAATGTGTTTATGCTTGTGATTCAGAGACAGAGAAAAGAGAAGAGGGTGTCTGTGAGTCTGTGAATCTGATGGGTGTGAAGTGGTACCATTTATCTGCTTTCGGACATGCCTCTGTAAACTACAGTCGACTGATTACCTTTTATTATTGAATGTAATATATTATTAATCCTTGAGAGAAAGCATGGCTTTGGTGAATATTCAAGGACTGTCATAAATATGAAATGTTTTATTTCTTCATTCATTAATTCGAATGTAGCTGCCAGCAGCTGCAGGAGTGGTAGTCTAGCTTGCTGCTTTGGTATACACAGCTATTTTCTCTCTCCTTTTTCACACTTGTGGCTATGACTTATTTAGAGTTCATTGAAGGAATACATAACATTACTGGCAAGGCTGTCTGTATAAGTAGGCAAGAGACTCTGACACTACAGAGAGACTGTAGGATGTCTGCCACAGAGTCACTGGAATAATTAATTGTAATATCAGAATCTGTTTTTAGGATGTGGAAGCAGAGTACTTCTCTGCTTCGACAGAGGTTTAATTTATGCATTAAATTATTTCATCAACCAAATTACAGCTCAAAACAAATCTATAAATTCTGACATTTGACAGCTATGTTAAATGTACAAAGGAATAAAAGGTAGAGAGGTTAATGTCCCCTCTCCCAAAATGAGGGCAATTGGCCATTGATAGGTATGCTACCGCCTTCCCGAATTACCCATTCCGCTAGGCATTAACATGAAGCTCCAATAGTAGTTTAATAGATGAAAAAACCCTTCTGATATTGAGGTAAATTCGTAACATTAATCTTTTATTGAAATGATCAGTATAACCTCTGCAACATAAAAAAAATCTTGTTTGTGACAGCAAGCCGAGGTACAAAGAGGCTCAGAGGTTAAGGGTGTTACTCTGAAAACAATGAGACATCCATTTGATCAACAGATGCAAAGCATTTAAGCTTGATGGTGCATAAGCCGTTTGCCAGATGGTTCAGCTGATTAGAGCATGTATCCTTACAATGATGCATGATGATGCTTTTTGAAAATAATGTTCACCAGGTGCCGCTCCCTGAGTGCTGCAGAAGAAATAAAAGTTAAACAAAACAAGGGAGAGAGAGGAAGAGAAAGAGAGAGAGAGGAAGAGGGGGAGATAAAGAGGGTGAGAAAGGATGGGGGGGGGTGCAGATCCCGCTGGGTATATGTGGTGAGGAACACGTAGTGTCAAGGATGCTTTGTTAGGATGTGAGAAGTGTGTAATCAAAGTCACTCTAATGTTCTGTTGCATGGTGCTGCTCTACACTGAAGATGTACATGCACAAGCCCATATTACACAAAATATGCTGCAGATGCTCCACATCCAGAGACAACCCACTCACAGGCAGGCTGGATGTGTCTTAACATCCTAGCTGGAGATGAGCACGGTTACATCACTGATGCGGAACATTTCCATGGCGACAAACACCATGAAACTAATGAGCTGTTCGACAGCTCATTGTCAGTATGTGCACCTGCCATCCATGACGCATCATACATATCATACACGCTCTTTATATTCAATGTCTAGTTCTGAAACAAATGCTGATGGCAGATGAGGTTAGATATCAACTAACCCGCAACAAAATATCAAAAAAGAAATCCCCAGCAGTACATGGTGGTGACGTAGCTGATGATGAGAATTATTGAGAATCCCAAAGATTCATTGTTGGAGTGAAACGTCACTTCAAAGCTATCAGAATCAAAACACAGTTGTGTAGTCTGTTGAGAGCCAGATGAAACAGCTGGGGAAATGAACACCTGTGTGTCTTAATTGATGGTGTGACCTCCGGCTTACAGCCCATCTTGAACAGTAAAAACGCATTCTTTATAGTTGCTTTCTTATGACTTTACTCTTCCGAAGATGAATTTAACAATAATTTTATCTTCAAGGACAAAGGTATCAACTTAGAAACATGTTCAGTTACACAAAGGGCCGTTTTCCCTCAGATATAAATGTCCTCTCTTTCAGTTTAAATCAGGCCTATTGCATCAGAAGCATATCAAATCCCGGCAGCGGAGGTGAGCAGCTGTGTGACAGCAAAAGGCTTCCCTGTTCCTGGTGTGTGCAAGTACTTTCAGAGAGCACAGACACAGCGCTCGCCTGGACCAAATCTGGTTTGTGTGAGCAAAACTGAGCACCGCACGAGCAGCAGAGCTTCACAGGCTGCCCATCTGGTCTGCTCAGGGATCTGAAAGTCGGGCGCATCAGTATGGTCAGTGCATTGTATGTACATTAGCCTCAGGAGTGGAGCAAACAGCACTAGTGGTTTAGTAGTGTGGAAAGTTGCTGTATTTAGTACTAAAGGTTGATGGCTGAAGTTTTAAGTTGTCTTTTAAAAGAAAAGAAAATCTGAAAATAAATCACACATACTTTATTCTTATTGTATTGTTATGTTATTATTATGTATATTTAAATAGATTTACATTTTCTTTGTGTGGTGTGGAGAGGTGTGATAATCTGCCCTTAAAGGTTACTGTATCGCTAGGGGAGGCTTTTCCACATTGTAACAGGAGTTTAGGAGGTCTGGTTTAGACTGGAATGAGACACCGCGAAAGGCAAGTGATGAAGTGCCTGACGTATGGTGGAGCTCGGAGGTCCACTGATGTGTGTGCAGCTTGTACAAGACCTCAACAGCAGGGAAAACAAGCAGTGTCCTGGCCCACTCCAACAGTTTTTAGGGTTTTCCTCTGGATATTGTCAAGCAGGCCAAGGTGACTACCACCCAACTGCAGGACAACACTCAGAGACACTGCAGACCTGTGCTTTATAGATTGTGGCTCAACTCAGTGAAATTTTGACTCTCCTCAAACCTCAAAGCTGATTTGGACCTCGGCAGTTTGCTGTTCAGTGTAACTCCCGGAAAGCTGAGCTCCTAGTGGAACACTAAAGTGCAGCTCCTCAAGAGCATCATTGACTTTGGATATTAATGGTTCAAATATATTTTTATTTGCTTTCCTATGTATTTATTTACTCATCATTGATATTTGCTATGATGGCTGCAAGTTCTTAATAAACTTACAAAATTAAAGTGAAATACCAAAAAGAAAGTTGAGGTGTAGGACACCTTCACTCATAATAAGAAGTGGCCTTTAATTGGAAGGACGTTATAGATCCTACAAACAGTTGTATATGACATTATTAGTAAGATTCATCCTAACACAAATTAATCACCTTTAAAATTGTATTTTGATGTGCATTTGAATGTTTAATAGATTAAAAAAAAAAAAGTGTGTATAAACGTGAGAGGCACAAAGTTAATTAGGAAATTTTTTGTCACATTTTATTTGCTCAAATATTCAAATATTTATGAGTATTTATTAGTACTGTCTAAAGGATGGTATTCAAAGTGACATTGTTTTTTTTTTTGGTGTACCAACTGGCTTTTGAAAAAGCTTCCCTTCCCATATTCAGATTTGTTATTCACACTTTCAGAACCAGGCAGACATTTTCTCTGAGTCTAAATGCATGACATTTTAAATCAGTTAGATGAAAGCATCTGTTTTGAGTGCTTATTACTTGTTCCAGCAAAAGACAGTCCTTGTGCGGGTAATGACTGCACTCTCCAGTATGGGTATAGCATTCCTCGTTGATTTGAATGTATAATTAGCATAATAAATACATCTGTCGCATGTGAGGACTTCTTTCATGAAGCAATCATCGCACAGAGCAAATCAACTGTTTTCTCCTCTGAGAAGCGGCCTGCAAGAATATGAATGTAATTCTGCTTTCATAACATAAATTTATGTGACATACACATATACATACTATTTAGCATTGTAGACTTCTTTCTTGCAGTAATAAGAGTGGAGAAATGATAGTTAAGTGCTCGCTGTATAGAATATGTAATCTGCTGACCCATAGCTTCGTATTCAGCCTCGCCAGAGTGAGGAACAACATGTCATTATTACAGGCCAATACACGCAGCACACACTGACACCAACATGTATATCTGCACTCTTGTGTGTGCATTGTAAACTGGCTATGAATACAATTTTCCACAATGCAAGAACTATATGTCCACTGAGGTATAAAATGAAAATGTCTTGTTATTTTCTAGTTCAGGACAGTAGGAAATACTTCCCCATTTCAACTGAGGAGAACATTTTCAGGGTCTGCTCGTGTTGGATATTGGGCCATTGTGGCAGTGAGGATAAAGATGATGACTAGGCTACATAAATTGCTTTCTCGTGTAATCATTGTTTTATCAGGCATGGTGTTGCTTATTGTCTTTTCCTTGTATCATGACCCCATTCTCTGATCCAGTACATGTATAACCAAGCCACTGTTATATTTTTCAGCATTGAATTTAGTTTAGTTATTGGGTGTGAAACGTTTCAGAGCTTTCTACAGTATCGATGCTTCCTTATTACACGTATGATTCTCATGCTTATCCTCTGCCGTGACATTTCCAAAATGATAACCTGACTGGACTCGGTGGCCCCAATCTGTTACTTGTGTCATGTGTTCTCCTTTAGCACAGATGTCATGTCCAAGTGCTGACCCTGGATCTTATGCAAGGGGTCCACACTACCACCTACTACTACCACTGCTACCCCTACTACCACACATACGTAGACGCACGCCCCCCCAGCACTGCTAAACCTTGGAAAATGAATTTGCCTGATGATGGAGAGGGTGCATTATCTGGCGGTACAGTAGAGTGCGTGTGGCCCGGGCAGACTAGCTGTCTCTAGTCCTCAGAATAGGAGCGGCAGTCTCCTGGGTGCTGGTAGGAGAATGGGCTGAAGCTGCAGTCTAATTCATCACAGCTCCGCAGGAAACAAGCAATCGTGGGGAGGCTTCAAAAAAAAAGTAAAAAGAAAAAAGGAAACCAGTGCAAAAGACACAACAGCTCTCACTGGACCTGGCAATTCCCTCGGTCACCACAGCAGTCAGTGTGACTGTCAGACTCCTCATGACTTAAATGCTGAAACAGGGAGAGGAAGAAAAAGATGGAAAGGGAGAAGGAGAGGAGAGGAGGAGAGGAAAAATCCCATATGGCTATGTAGTTGATATTGCTCAGTGGTGGGAGGTTTCAGCATGTGATGTACAGCATATTTACCGTTGCATTAGCATAAATCTCGGAGCATGTTATGTGCATACTGGATGTGATTGTTTACCCTATCTGGACCACCTCTCACTGGGGGTTCTTTACTGAGGCACCAGATTGTGGGGATATGGCATGCTGGAGGGTTTCCGTGACAACCTGGGCTTTCTGTCCAATCAGGGCGAGGGTTTCCAGATTGAGAGGTGGTCCTCAGGGGAGCTGTACTTCAACAAGCTTGGATGCTTTGCCACGGAGCAGCCGTTTTAGAGAGACCATCACACAGTGAGATTCTGCTCAAAATGGGTACTTTGACGTTCCCGGCATAATTGGAAACACTTTTCAA